AACCTAGTTTCATACTTTATCCTCATGAAGATAATAATGAAAAATTTTACAAATTTTATTGAAGACTAAAAGTTTAGTGAAGATATATACACAAATATGTGAAAATATATTTTGTAGTCTATATTTTGTAGACTAATATATTTCACAGATAGAAATTTATTAGCAATGATGAAATCTGAAGCCATTGTTAATATTGGCAAAGACTTTGATGCACATTACATTTAATAATTTTAAGGGCATAAAAAATGCCACTGCAATATCTATTAGCATATTTAGCTGTATTAATTGCATGATTCTTCAAAGTCCCAAGCGGATTTATCAACAGAATCTTTTATCCACTCCTATAAGCAGCAGAGTAAAACCAAGGATGATGTCACTTTGCCACTTTTCTTTATACACTTAACCCAGTAATACTTCATTTACCAATATAGAAGAGGTGCATAGTGTCTTCTGATGATGGATTCAACCTGAAAGGTGGGCAGAACTGCAGGAGAAAAACAGTGGCTATGGTCCTTGACTTGTTCTGTTCTAGTCTGTCTATTAGTTCTTGACAATATTTTCTGTTTTCTCTATTATTCTTAATGAGAACATAGATGCAGATTTCTTTCTGAAACTTAAAACACTTGTGTACTCAATTGTATTCTATTACACTAGAAAATGGGTTTGAAATTTCCAATTATTGATAGAAGAAAACAGAATATATTTTTCCTATATTGTTGGATTATTTTTTTCCCAGAAAGTGAAATTTTGCAGAAGAATAACTGGTTTCAATTTGAAGAGAATTAATTCTGGTAGTTGGAACACTAAAACAAATACCTTGATTATATTTATGTTTTTCTGCTTAAACTAATAACAGGTTGTTTAAAACTCAAATTATAAATTTATTTTTATTTTTTATTTTTATTTAGTTTTTAATAATAAATTTATTTTTTATTGGTGTTCAATTTGCCAACATACAGAATAACACCCAGTGCTCATCCGGTCAAGTGCCCCCCTCAGTGCCCGTCACCCATTCACACCCACCCCCCGCCCTCCTCCCCTTCCACCACCCCTAGTTCATTTCCCAGAGTTAGGAGTCTTTATGTTCTGTCTCCCTTTCTGATATTTCCCACACATTTCTTCTCCCTTCCCTTATATTCCCTTTCACTATTATTTATATTCCCCAAATGAATGAGACCATATAATGTTTGTCCTTCTCTGATTCACTTACTTCACTCAGCATAATTGCATGATTTTATTGATCTATTTATCTATTTGTTTGTTTGTTTGTTTATCTTATTTCATCTTTTTACAGTTTTTTTTTTTAAAATCAGGCTCCTAGGAAATATAACTAACATCACACAACTAAGCTGAAGATGACTTTGTCTTAGACCAGTAGTGGAATCTACAGCTTGTAACTCTTAGACATGATCCTCCCTTAACAATTTATATATCTTCAAATTATATATCTTCAAATTATATATCTTCAAATTATAAATCTTCAAATTATAAATCTTCAAATTATAAATCTTCAAATTATAAATTGTTAAGGGAGGATCGTGTCTAAGAGTTACAAGCTGTAGATCCCACTACTGGTCTGAGACAAAGTCATCTTCAGCTTGGTTGTATGATGTTAGTTATATTCCCTAGGAGACTGATTAAAAAAAAAACTGTAAAAAGATGAAATAAGATAAATAAATAAATAGATAGATAGATAGATAGATGATAGATAGATAAAATCATGCAAAGTAATAGAACTGCTGGAATATGCTCAGCCTCAAATAAAAATTCAATATTATTCTGCCACCACTATTAGTCATCCCCCAACTTAAATAGTAAACTGTTTTCATGAAACTCAACAAATTGGATAGAAAGGAGTAAGAACCAATAATCAGGAAAGCTCCCTTGATGGTACAGACAGCACTTCCTCTGTCAGATGCTCTGAGTAGACTGTTCAGTGTGGCTTGATCACAATCACCGCCACTTAATAAAGTGCATCAATGACTTTACCAGCAAACCCAGACACCCTCCTGCTTTTCATTTATTCATTCAGCAAACTGTGAATCTTTAGTGTGATTCACTAATTGAAATTAATCTCTTAAAATCTAAATAACAGAAGAAAAACTTTGAATTTACATGTCTCTATTATTTACCAGATAAGACTTTGTTTTGTTTTCCCAAACATAATCACTTTAATGCACATAGCAATTAATTTCTTATGGAAACTGATATGCTGAGAAGAAAATGAGGCAACACTGGGATGTCTGTAACTCCGATCCATTTTTTATTCTCTATCTTGCTTTTCAGTGGCTATGCCTAATTTACATGTTGAAAATCTAAAGAAGAATTAAACTTGGCTACTTGTAAGGAGGTGGTAGTCATTCTATTAAGAAAAATATATATAAATCTTATTTAAAGTATAATTGTATTTATTTTATTTTATGTTTTATTTTTTTAAAGTATAATTTTAAAACAGCTACAAAGTACTACAAAAAGCAATACACACAGAATACATATGGCCTTTATTAAGACAAACAATAACAATTTCTTCTATATTTTCTCTTACGGACATTATGATCTTTGTAACTTTTTAATTTTCTGACATTAAATAATTTTATTTTATTTTAAAAAATATTTTATGTATTTATTTGAGAGAGAAACAGTGAGCAAAAAGAGAAAGCACAAGCCATGGGGAGAGGGAGAGGGAGAAGCAGATTCCCCACTGAGCAGGGAGCCCAGGGTGAGGTTCAATCCCGTGACCCTGAGATCATGAACTGAGCCAAAGATATATGCTTAACTAACTGAGTCACAAAGATGGTCCTGTTTTATTTTTTAAATATTTCGTTTATTTATTTTAAGAAAGTAGGAGTGTGAGTAGGGAGAGGGACAGAAAGAATCTCAAGCAGGTTTCATGCTAAGTGCAGAGCCCCATGTGGGGCTCAATCTCATGATCCTGAAATCATGACCTGAGTTGAAATCAAGAGTCAAACGCTCAACTGACTGAACTACCCAGGCATCCCTTATTTTATTTTTTAATGCTAAAATTTAAAAGCCCTTGCCAATAATCCTTTACTCTAGAATACTGAAGGAGTAGGTAACACTGCAAACGATTTAGACATCTTAATATAAATATTCAGTACTTAATACAAATATCCAACAAGTGTGGATCTCACTGCAAAATAAAATTATCTTTTTATCAAATATTACTTTCATTAGCAGATGGAAGCTGATCTTAGTGAACCATTTAAAAACAGTAAACTAAACTAAAACACACCTACTGACATAGTCTATAAGCATGAGCATAGTCTATAGTCTTCTCAGCATATCAGTTTCCATGAGAAATTAATTGCTATATATGTAATATATATGCTTACATATATATTACAACAGATACATACATATATTACAACTGATATATTTATTTATATATACATATATGTATATCATCTATTCACTTATGTATTTATTTAATTATATATATATTTGTATGGAATAAGCATAAATAAAAATGAACATACACACTTATTCAAGTTGTTAGGTACTACAGAAATTGTGAAGTCTAAATTTTAAATATATGAATATATAAATATATGAATAGATGCTAAACCATATGAAGTAATGCATCTTGCTCCATAAGACAATAATGGTCACAGCTATTTTTTACATAGATCCTACCCAATAACTAAACATTGGTATGAACACTTTAGACTAAAGTATACATGTTTATCCGTAACTAGTAATGTTCTAATCACTTTTGTTATTTTCCCTCAATCCTTACTACAGCTGAGCTAAAAAATTGTTTATCTTGGTTTTATATACAGTGGACAGAGAAACAGTGAGTAAAGAGCAGGGGGTGTGGGTCTATGGTTGCATTTGGGCTGAGATTCTAAACATCTCACCTAAAGTCCCATAGGTCTCCAAAAGTTCATTCATGTGTGAGAAACCTGACTTTTTCTTGGTTGGGTGCATTCCTCACTCTACAAAACCACAAAAACTTCACAGGAAAGCTTGCTTCTCTGGGTAAAAGAATCTCTAATATTTGATATTATGTATAATTTAGTTTCAAAATCTTTCTTACCTAGAATAAACCTCTAAGAATTTAAAAAATATTCTTGTTGGTAAACAAAGCATTGATGTTAAATCAATTTAGACTTGTATAATGAAAACTGTAGAATTATATTGTTTATCTATTTTTCAATAATTCAATGATTTGACTTGTTGTCTTAAGTTTGTCAGGTTTAATCCGATTGGTAGTGAAATGAAAAGAGAGGTCAGGCTAAAATTGGAAGAAACAGGCTTTTAATGGGACGCGCTCTTGGGCGAGGTTACGAGGCCCTGCAAGGGAGTGAAACTGGGGAAGTCTCAGGGCCAGGAAGTCACGTGCAGGGGAGTACAAGTGGGCTTTTTTAAGGGGGAGGGGTAAGGGTTGTGTGTCTGTATGGGGTGATAGGTATTAAGTCATGTTACTGGCGGAATTGGTATGGGGCGATAACCCCTATATGGGGTCTGATACGGTTCAGATTTCCTGCATAGGTCCTGTCTTCCCCTGATAATATGTCCTTGGGCAGTCTGCTGGTGGTGGGAAAGTTCTGAGGCAGGGGTAACAAGATAGGGGATCCACTGCCGTTTTGTTGGTGCCTCCTGATCCCCCTTGATCCCGCTGGCCCAACAAAGTTGACCTTTTGTAAATTCCCAATATATGTTTATGTATGAGACTATCTGTTATGAGGAAATGTCATGACCTGAATTGTGTCAACTTCAATATTAATAACCAATTATTCTGACCCACAGTTGTAATTTTTTAGTTTTATGATAGATTCACAATAAGTTCTGATTAATAATCCTCAATCTATAGGCCCATAGGACTTTCTCTTTTTTACACAAGTAGGTGTGCACAAACACAAAATTCTCACTATTTCTTAAATCATTTCAGGTATTTGCATTCCATGAGTGATCCATTGCCTGCAAAGCTTTCACTGGTGAACTTGAGGTCTAGATGAACTGGGCTTATATGAACCCTCATGGACAACAAAACTTGGATGGTCAATGACAGTGGACAATCTGATTTCATCCTGGTGGGAATTTTCAGTCAGTCAAAACACCCAAATTTTCTCTGTGTGGTCATTTTTATTGTTTTCTTGTTGGTATTGTCTGGAAACTCTCTCCTGATATTTCTGATATACTCTGATGCTCACCTCCACACTCCCATGTATTTTTTCATCAGCCAGTTGTCTCTCATGGATGTAATGTACATTTCCATCACTGTACCCAAAATGCTTATGAACCAGGTTATGAGTATGAATAAGATCTCAACCCTAGAATGTGGGATGCAAATGTTTCTCTATGTAACACTAGGAGGTTCAGAATGTTTTCTTCTAGCCACCATGGCTTATGATCGCTATGTAGCCATCTGCCATCCTCTTCATTACCCTGTCCTCATGAACCACAGATTGTGTCTTCTACTAGCATCTGGCTGCTGGTTTCTGGGATCTGTGGATGGATTCATGCTCACATCCATCACCATGACATTCCCCTTCTGCAGAACTCGAGAGATCCATCATTTCTTCTGTGAAGTCCCTGCCATAGTGAAGCTTTCTTGCTCAGACACTTCCCTTTATGAGACAGTCATGTACCTGTGCTGTGTCCTCATGCTTCTTATCCCTGTGGCAGTCATTTCAAGCTCTTATTCTTTCATCCTTTTCACCATTCACAGGATAAACTCAGCAAAGAGCCAGAAATCCTTTGCCACGTGTTCCTCCCATATGACTGTGGTCATTCTCTTTTATGGGGCTGGAGTCTACAACTATATGCTTCCCAGTTTTTACCACACCCCTGAAAAAGACATAATGGTGTCTGTCTTTTATACCATACTTACTCCATTGCTAAACCCTTTAATCTATAGTCTGAGGAATAAAGATGTCACAGAAGCTTTAAAGAAAATGGTGAATGTAGGACCTGTCTTTCAAGAAATTATAAAATAGAAAATTAATATTTTATTCTGTTTTTTTATTCTCTCTACACATTGGAACTTAGGAATCTTATGCCAATGATTCCTTAGGGAATACTTTAGTACATAAATAAATTTCTTGGGACCTCATACCATGGTATCTTATATCATATTCACAACTACTTTATGAATTTCTCTAATGTACTATAATTATCTTTGATTCTAAATCTCCATTCAAAATGTATTGTCCTATGCTAATTTTGAGGTAAAATTAAAGTTTATAACTGTACTCTTATTATATAAAAGAATACTTACATTAAATATATAATGAATTATTTACAGGATAAAGATCATGTGGAGGTAAGAAATTTTCTCAAATAAAAGAGAGAAAAGGAGACAGAGATGGAGAGAGAAAGGGAGGGAAGGCAGAAGGGAGAGAGAGAGAAATTTAGATTGACAGAAAAGTGATAAAGCAGAGTAGGTACAGTGTTAACAATAAAGAGTCTAGGTAAAGAATATAGGATGTTCTTTGTACCACTCTTATTCATGCTTCATTTCCACAAATTAGATTAAGTCCAAGTAAATAGCTAAGATAGTCTTTCTGTCACACATGCTTTTTTTTTAGGATTTTTAGTCTTAGTTTTTTTTTCATACTCTAAAGTGATGCAAAAAGCCTACAGAGAACAAAAGCTACGTAGAGTAACCTGAAGCAGCTTACGCTGAGCTTGGGACCCCTGGAAGTATGCCTAGGTAAAGACAGCTTACAATCAGTGGAACCAGCTCCTCCCACAAACAGCAACAACTGTTGAACCAAGTTTATGGATCACTAAAAACCTTCTGCACTATGGGAAAATAGTATATAGAATTTGAGGGGCTTTTTATGAGGTTTTAGTTTGTCATTTAAAATTTTTCTTTTTCTTTTTTGCTTTTTCAACTAGTTTCTCATTTTATCAATTCTTTGTTTTTAAATCTTTTTAAATTTTCATCCTTACATTTATATTTATAGGCATTCTTCATTTTTGGCTTCTTTTCATTGAGATATATCTGTATCTATCTATATATAGATATATATCTATATCTATCTATATATATCTATATATTTATATCTTTCTTTACAATTTTGGGATTTAATGTCTTCTACCAAACAAACCAAAATACATCTAGGACCAAATGATTCCCCTGTTTTATCCATGTGTAAGAATAAATTATCTTTTTTCCCCTTTTAAAATTTTTCTTTTTTGGTTTCTGATCTCTTTGGATTTGTCTAGTGTGTATTTTGCTGAGGTCATGGATGATATTTTTTTATTTTGTTCTCTCATTCATCTATTCTTTGGAGAAAAAGACTAAAATAAGAAATTCAGAGCAAAAGAAAGAACAGGAGGTAATATGGTATATTATATATCTAATCAACATGGATATAAGTAAAATGACAGAAATTGAATTCAGAATAATGATTACAAAGTCATTAACCCTGATTTTAAAAAAAGGAAAAAAAAGACACTAGGGAATACCTTAGTACATAAATAAAATCTTGGGATCCCTGGGTGGCTCAGCAGTTTGATGCCTGCCTTTAGCTCAGGTTGTGATCCTGGAGACCCAGGATCGAGTCCTACATCGGGCTCTCCCTGCATGGAGCCTGCTTCTCCCTCTGCCTCTCTCTCTCTCTCTCTCTCTCTCTCTCTCTCCGTCTCTCATGAATAAATAAATAAAATCTTTAAAAAAACAAATAAAATCTAATCAAGTCAAAATTAAAAATACTTTAAATGAGGTGCAATCTAAAATGGATATTCTAACAGATTGAGTAAATGAGGCAGAAGAGAGAGTCAGTGACATAGAAGACAAAATTATGGAAAGGAAGGAAGCTGATGAAAAGAGAGGAAAACAACTGATGGACCATGAGGGGTCAAGAGATCAGCAAAACAATATTAGAATTATTGGAATCCTAGAGGAAGAAGAAAGAGATAGAGGGATAGAAGGTATATTTGAGCAAATCATAGTTGAGAACTTCCCTAATCTGGGAAGGAAACAGGCATTCAAGTCCAGGAAGCACAGAGAACTCCCCTCAAAATCAAGAAAAATAATCAATGCACTGAAATATTATAGTGAAGCTAAGAAATGTCAAAGATAGAAAATCCTGAAAGTGGTTTGAGGTAAGAGGTCCTTAATGTACAAGGGTAGAAACATTAGTTTGGCATCACAACTATCCACAGACACCTGCAGGCCAGAATGGATTGGTATGATATAATCAGGGTGGTAAATGAAGAACACGCAGCCAAGAATACTTTATCTTCAAGACGGTCATTCAGAATAGAAGGAGAGCTAAAGAGCTTCCAGAACAGACAGAAACTGAAAGAATATGTTATCACCAAGCTAGCCCTCCAAGAAATATTAAAGAGGATGTTCTAAGCAAAGAGAGAATCCAAAAATAACAAGCCGGGAAGAAACAGACACACTATAAAGAAAAGTGATGTAACCAGCAATGCAATGGTACTAAATTCATATCTTTTAGTAGTGACTCTGAGTGTAAAGGGCTAAATGCTCCAGTCAAAAGACAGGGATATCAGATTGGATAAAAAATAAAGACCTATACATATGCTGTCTACAAGAGACTCATTTAAGACACCTCCAAAATGAAAATGAGGAGGTGGAGGACCATTTATCATGCTATTGTACATTATAAGAAAGCTGAAGTAACAATTCTCATATCAGACAAATTAAATTTTAAATCAAAGACTGTAGTAAGGAATGAAGATGGACACTATATCATACTTAAAGGATCTATCCAACAAGATCTAACATTATAAATATTTATGCTTCCAATATGAGAACAGCCAATTATATAAACCAAATAATAACCAAATAAAACACACTGATAATAATATAATAATAGTAGGGGACTATAACACCCAACTCACAACAATAAAAAGATCATTTAAGCAGAAAATCAACAAGGAAAGAGGGCTTTGAATGACACACTGGACCAGATGGACTTGACTTATATATACAAAACAATCCATCTTAAGGCAATAGAATACACATTCTTCTCGAGTGCACATGGAACATTCTCCAGAATACATCCATTTCTTCCAGATTGCCTAATTTGTTGGCACATAGTTGCTCATAATACATTCTTAAAATTGTTCGTATTTCCTTGGTGTTGGTTATGATTTGTCTTCATTCATTCATGATTTTATTAACTTGTTTCTTTTTTCTTCTTTTCTTTTCTTTTCTTTTCTTTCTTTTCTTTTCTTTTCTTTTCTTTTCTTCTTAATAAGGCTGGCTAAGGACTTATCTATGTTATTCTTTCAAAGAACAAGCTCCTAGGTTCATTGATCTGTTCCACTGTTCTTCTGGTGTCTATATCATTGAGTTCTGCTCCAATCCTTTTTATGTATCTTCTCCTGCTTGGTTTAGTCTTCATTTGCTTTTCTTTCTCCAGCTCCTTTAGGTGTAAGGTTAGCTTGTATATCTGAGATTTCTCTGATATTTTGAGAGAGGCTTGTATGAAATGTACTTCCCTCATAGGACCACCTTTGCTGTATCCCAAAGGTTTTGAACAGTTGTGCTTTCATTTTCATTAGTTTGCATGAATCTTTTAAATTCTTCTCTAATTTGCTGATTGAACCACTCATCTTTTAGTAGGATGCCCTTTAACCTCCAAGTGTTTGAGTTATTTCCAAATTTTCTCTTATTATTGAATTCAAGTTTCAAAGCAATTGTGGTCTGAAAATATGCAGGGAATAATACCAATTTTTTGGTATCAGTTGAAATCTGATTTGAGACCCAGTATGTGGTCTATTCTAAGAAAATTCAATGTTCACTTAAGAAGAATGTGTATTCTGTTGCATTAGGATGGAATGTTCTATATATATCTGTGAAGTCCCTCTAGTCCAGTGTGTCATTCAAAGCCCTTTTTCTTTGTTGATCTGTTTGGATGATCTGTCCATTGCTGTGAGTGGGGTATTGAAGTATCCTACTATTATTTTATTAGTATCAATGTATTTCTTTACTTTGGTTATTAATTGGTTGATATAATTAGCTGCTTCCAGATTGGAAGCATAATATGTATAATGGTTAGGTATTTCTGTTGGACTGATCCTTTCTGCGTGATATAGTGCCCTCTTCATCTCTTATTAGAGTCTTTGGTTTAGAATCTAATTTATCTGACATGAGGATTGCTACCCTAGCTTTCTTTGGGGGTCCATTTACATGGTAAATTATTCTACATGCTCTCATTTTCAGTCTGAAAGTATCTTTCTGTCAAAAATGAGTCTTTTATACACAGCATATGGATGGGTTTTGCTTTTATATCTGGTTTGATACCCTGTGTCTTTGGAGCATTTAGCCCATTTATATTCAGAATAACTATTGAAACATATGAATTTCATGACCTTGTATTACCCATATGGTCCCTGTTACTGCAGATTCTCTCTATTCCTTTGGGCTCCCTCTTCACTTACAGGGCTCCCCTCCTTAATATTTCTTGCAGGACTGGATTTGTGCTCACATACTCTTTCAGTTTCTGTCTCTCCTGGAAGCTCTTTATCTCTCCTTCTATTCTTAATGACAGCCTTGTTGGATAAAGTATTTGTGGCTTCATATTTTTCTCATTGAGTTCCCTAAATATATCATGCCAATCCTTTAACGTCCTGCCTGGTATCTGTGAATAAGTCTGCTGTTAATCTGGTATTTCACCCTCTGTATGTTAGGAATCTCTTGTCTCAAGTTACCTTCAGGATTTTTTCTTTATCTCTGAAATTTGTAAATTTTGCTATTATACATCAGAATGTTGATCTATTTTTATTTATTTTGAGAGGAGTCCTCTCTACCTCTTGGGTATGCATACCTGTTTCCTTCCTCATATTATGGAAGTTCTCAGCTATGATTTGCTCAAATATACCTTCTGCACCCCCCATGCACCCTCAGGAATTTCAATAATATGGATTTTTTTTTCAAACTATTGCTTATCTCTCAGAGCCTCTCCTTATGGGCTCTTAGTTGTTTTTCTCTCTTTTCCTCCACTTTCTTTCCATC